AAAAAAAAAAAAAAAAAAAGAAAGAAAAAATAACTAGGTAAGGCTGGGCAAGCTGGCTCACACCTATAATCTCAGCACTCTAGGAGGCCAAGGCAGGTGGATCACCTGAACTCAGGAGTTCAAGAACAACCTGAGCAAAAGGGAGACCCCATCTGTAAACACAGCTGGGCGGTATGGAAGGTGCGTATAGTCCCACCTACTTGGGAGGCTGAGGCAAGAGAATTGCTAAGAGTCTGAGGTTGCTGTGAGCTAAGATGGCACTCTACTGAGGGTTACCAAGTGAGATTCTATCTCAAAAAAAAAAAAAACAAAAAAAATACCTAATTAGTTCATGATTACTCATACAACTTAATAGTCACTGTAATGTTTTATCTACAACTCGTATGACTTAAAAATGTGGATATTATGTTTATTTATATTTGAAGGTGTGTTTTTTTCCCTTCTCTCATGTCCAAAGTAAAACTTAACTACTCTGAAGAGCTAGCTGTGAAGCAGCTTTTTCATCCTAACAGCCTGTATAAAATTACTCATCTATTCAACAGACATCAATATTTGGTGGACATCTATTGCAAATACTTTCCAGACACTGGATATCGCAGTAAACAAAACAGAAAAAGTTGCTGGATGAGAATATACCTTATGTTTTATAAAGGGAGAGATAAATAATAAATAAGCTAAACAAATAATTTCAGATAAAGTGCCATGAAAAAAACAAAAACAGAGTAATAAAACATTAACTGGTAAGAAAAATATTTGGAAAAAATAGTTTAGAAAGGCTGCTCTATGATGATATTTGAGCAGAGATCAGAAGGATGAAAATGAGTCAAGCATGCTAAGATCTGACAAGAACATTATCAGCAGAGGGCAGCAGGTATAGAGCCTCAAAAACAACAAGCTTGACATGTTTTAGGAATGGAAAGCAACCCTGTGAAAGAGGAGTATTGGTGACAGAAGGGGAAAGAGAGCCAGGCGCAGAGACTCAGGCCTGTCATCTTAGCACTCTGGGAAGTTGAGGCAGGAGAATCACTTGCGCTCACAAGGTCCAGACCAGCCTGAGCAAGAGCAAGACTCCATCTCTTCCAAAGATAGAAAAATTAGCTGATCATTGTGGTAGACGTCTATAGTCCCAGCTGTTTGGAAGTCTAAGGCAGAGGGATCACTTGAACCCAGAAATTCAAGGTTGCTATGAGCTAGGCTGACGTCATGACACTCCATTACATGTGGATAACAGTGAGACTCTGTCTCAAAAAAAAAAGAAAGAAAGAAAAAAAAAAGGCTGGGGGTGTGGTGGCTTAAGACTATAATCCCAGCACTCGGGGAGGCCGAGGGAGGTAGATCACCCAAGCTCAGCAGTTCAAGGCTAGCCTAAGCAAGAACAAGACCCTATCTCTACTAAAAATAGAAAAACTAGCCAGGAGTTGTGGTGGGTGCCTATAGTCCAAGCAACTTAGGAGGCTTGGCAAAAGAATCTCTTGAACCCAATAGTCTGAGGTTGCTATGAGCTATGCTGCCACAGCACTCAACACTAGGGTGACTGAATAAGACTCTGTTTCAATAAAAAAAATTGACTTGATGCCCATACCTCAGTGGTTAGAGTGCCAGCCACATACACAGGGAGAGGGGAGGTGAGGGAGGTTGCTAAACAACAATGACAACTACAACAAAAAAATAGCCGGGTGTTGTGACGGGCACGTGTAGTCCCAGCTACTTGGGAGGTTGAGGTTGCTGTGAGCTGTGACAACACAGCACTCTACCAAGAGCAACATAGTGAGACTCTTATCTCAATAAATAAATAAATAAATAAATAACTCAAGCCACCCTGTAGTTAAACAGACATCAGGGCAGCAATTTGAAATAGGGAGGCAAAATAAAATGCTACTATAGTAGTTCACATGAAATAATGGTAGGGTCCAGTGTGGTGGCTCACACCTGTAATCCCAGCACTTGAAAGGCCAAGGTGGGTGGATTGCTTGAGCTCAGGAATTCGAGACCAGCCTATGCAAGAGCAAGACCCGTCTCTAAAAAAAAGAGCCAAGCGTTGTGGCCGGTACCTGTAGTCCCACCTACTTGGGAGGCTAGGGCAAGATAATCACTTCAGCCCAAGAGTTTGAGGTTGCTGTGAGCTGTGTGCCACAGCATTCTACCAAGGGTGACAAAGTGACACTCTGTCTCAAAAAAAAAATAGAAAAGAAATGATGATGGTTTGGACTTCACAGGAAGCAGTGGAAACAAAGAACAATCACATTCTTGATATAATTTGAAGATAAAACTAACAAAATTAAAGGCGAGGGGCTGGAATTAAGAGAACGTTAACAGCTTTATTTAAACACGCAAGGCCCCCCTGCCGGACGCAGGGTGATTTTGGCAGTCATAAACCTCAGGAGCAGTTGCCTACTGGAGTGAATAGGGTCACAGATCTAGGGGATTACGAGTGACTGGGTGCAAGGTGGGGAAGGAGGTTTTAACCTTCCCAGACCAACCCATCTGCTGGGTGGGTCCCTTTGCCCTTACGGAGCACTGGAGCAAGTTATATCTGAACTGCGAGCAGACTCCTCTTATCTAGCTGCCAGAAACATTTGAACTTTTCCACCTGAAACAGGTGCTGACTGGGACAACTGACTCGAACCCCTTAAACTAGGCAGACCACCCAGGGACTGTTCAAAGGGGCACCCTGGGTATATGGTTGAGGGAAGGTTTGATTTTCCTTGCCCAATTGTTGTTTGTGGGGGCCAGGGTGACTTAATTGCTGGTATTTCTCCACAGCAGAGACTTCAACCAAGAGAAACTGAATCACTAGGGTAAGACAGAGACCAGCTGAAAATAAGACAGAGCCACTTAGCCCCACCACACCAAGCAGGTCCCCAGTCTCTCAGGCTATGACACCATACAGGTCCTTGACAAACCTCAAAGGGAAAAGCCAAACAGGGTAAAATAATCATGGGGCGGAATCAGCAGAAAAGCTCTGGTAATATGAATAACCAGAGTAGGTCAACCCCTCACCCAAGAA